CAAAACGTTTTCAATAAAATATCTCGCAGGATTTACTGTCAAGTGTCATATATCTTTAACGATTGATAAACTATTCAAGATTTTTCTACGGGATTCTTCCACTGAATCAGAGCACTGCAGAACAAAGTTTGGCAGCTGCTGCTGTAGTATTCATGTGAACAGTCGACCTTGCGGGGCTTGGCTTCGAGCCCAGCCTCCGTCCCGGGCTGCGGTCTCGCCGCGACGGCAACCTCGTTAGCGCCCGAGAACTGGAATTGTTCAGCAGTAAATCGCGGCCGATAGCATCGCCGGGGGCGGCTCAAGAGGCGACCGAGGCGTGGCGTGGCGTGGCGGGGCGTGGCGGGGCGCGCCGCGGTGGCGGGCGGGCGTGGGTTACCTCACAGGATGGGGCAAAGGATTCCGCTTGAAACGCACATCTGCATACAACGAGTACTGCCCGCCGCCGCCTCGTTAACCTGGGCACCGGTGCGCGCCGCTGCCGCAGGCTTCGCCGCCGCCTCCTCGCCTAGTGGCCGATGTCCGGCCGTCCAGCCACCCCCGCAGTAGCCCTTGATTAGCGTTTGCGCCGACGCCTCTGAAGCAATGAGCTTTGTTCCGCGGAAAGCTGTGAAAGGGGGGCAGGCAGCAGTTTTGAGGAGAATCGCCAGATGTATTCTTGATGTAACTTTCTCGTGCCACCATTTTTGTCGAACACATCATCGTCTTGGCTTTTTTTCTTTGGAGATGAGGCTTCTCGTATAGGAGATGAGGCAGAATATGTGAGAATAATCTTCCAATGCATTATTGATTAAACTTCATCGTTCCGTAGCCGTAGCATCTTCTGAGTTCTCGGCTTCTTTGTGCATCGTCGTCACATTCGTTTGGCAGTCATTTAATTCTATGCAATTCGTTTTTTTTACAAAATCTTTGACCAATATATGCTGTAGGCATCATTTATACTCTTTCTTATTTATTATTTTCCCGATCGCCTCTTGTTCCGAAGTCCTGCTGCCCGGTGTAGTTACTCCTGCATTGGTCCAAAGTGGCCTAAAGGCTCGACGCTACAGCTGAAGCAATCCGCTGTGAAACGGGGCCGACTGGAAGGAAGAATGTTTGAGGAGAATCGCCAAATGTATTCTTGCAGCAACTTCCTCGTGCCATCGTCTGTACAGACTACACCATTGCCTTGGGGTTGCGTCTTTGGGGCCACAAGGCAAAGTTTCAGAGAATCCACAAATGTATTCTTGGTGTCACTTCTTCCTTCCGCCGTTCTCCGTGCGTCGCAACAGTACCTGATCTGAGCTCGGTCCCTTGGATCTCTATCGCTTTTGTACATTTTGCCTACATCGACCTCGTATGCGTCACGTCAATCGTTTACTTAAGGGTCAATCCTTAGGAGAAGCGGCAATGGGATCAATCGGTTAGATCGGTTCTTACGATACCGGAAAATCCCAAGAAATGCACACAACACGTGTGGCGCCTTCGAGAGCACTGAAGAACCGAAGCGGCGGGCACCGCTCCCAGGCAGAATTGGACCGCCGATCGCGTTGGCAGCTTCAGAAGAGATTTCCCCACAAATTGTGCATAGTGACGAACGAAGGGCATTTTCAAGCAACAAAGGTAACGTTAGTGTAAATTGTCTTTTAACTTGAAATGACGTTTACACCTTGGCTTTATTACTAGTATTTTCATTTCTATTAAAGTATGAAATAACACATTTCGTAACCAGTCAAATGAGAGGTTAATTAAAAGTATATTTATTTAAAATAAATTATCATCAATATTCATGAGGATTGAAATGTAAATTATTTCGCTGCTATAGCTGGACGGGAACCTTACATGATGATTAATACGTATCATAAAAATCTACGACCTTGAAGACAGAAATTTCGCTGGAGACGTGCGCAAGCCTAATAGTGATTAACGAAGTATCTTGTCTGCACTCCGCGCAGGTGAGTGGTCCCAGCAGGAGGTCCAGCGCCATCTCTCGCGGCTCCAGAATGCGAGTCGGTGCTTTAATGAACGCCTTACATCCTCTGCCTTTTCTTTGCACCTCAACAGAAATAACCATTCTCACAATAAGGTTGTGCCCGAGATGTGCTGAAACGTAGCGAGAAGAAGTTGCATTTCCTTCTCTCGTGTTCCATTTTCTCAGTATGTCATGTGCTAATGAGAGTACCTGTGATGGGATTTTGTATTTCTTCGCTTCTAAAGCAGAACTATAGTTTCATTTGGGATACTCAATGATATACATTTTAGCTGTATTCTCAATAATTTGCGATGTATTCCTTGAGATGCTCATCACGGAATAACGATTAATGTTTTATGGTTCCCTTTATGAATCCATCAATCCATGATGCCAAAACATTTTTATCTCAATCTTCCTCCTAAATTATGAAATTTCACTTCAAAAACGTTATATTTCTGAATTTCATGTTTTAGTGCCGCTTAAGAGCCGGATGGACAAGTATTTGTTTTGCCTAAAACTTGTTTCCCGATTTAATTTCCCCTACAAAGTATGATGCAGCAGCCAGGAAAGAACTACTTGTTCTTCTATGGACCTAGGTTTAATAGTTGGTTCGACTAGAGGATAATGAATGAATTTGAACAAATAACATTGCTAAGATAACCATTTTTTAGATGTACTGTCCTCTTCAGATGGGTCCATATCTGGAACCATTATCTCGATTGGGTCCTCTCTGCGTCCAATTTTCCTTGATTCATTGGGATAATGTCAATAGCCTTGCTTTGCATTGAGACTGCATGTACCTTCATTTTTAAGAAAGCTGCGTAAGGGTTTTACTATTTTGGACATAAAATAAAAATAAATAAATAAAAGTGCCGTTAAACCTAGGGCCATTTTCTTTGATCTAAAAACGATGTCGAGTAGCTATTGCTGCAGCGGGCGCTCAGGGCCCAGAGTGTTCGACTGCGCATTTCGTAGGCCCGCATCCTGCCGGCGATTCGAGGATCCCTGCTTTCTGCGGCGCCGGCGAACTTCCGGTCGCTGCGGCGGCGGAGCGGGCAGAGGGACGCGCCGACGGCCGATGGCACGCGTGCAGTCTAAGATAATTTCACCTGTACTCCTTGCTGCTTTGACCGCAAATATTTGTTCGCCACAGCTACTTGGTGTGAATGGAGTATAAAGAGGTAGCTACCATGAAAAACGAAGAGAAATATCCGTTACATTGTGAAAAACGGTTCTGGAGCAAAACTGACGGAATCCAAAAGCTAGATAAAGCAACATGAGAGAAGCATTTTACACTAATTAGAGATGATAGATTTTAATGAAAAAAAAATAAATAAATAAGTGAACAAAACACTTTTGGACACAAATTCAGGAGACGGTGCATTGGAGAAAGCTACATATAGGATGCGAGGAAGTCGAAACTCACTGTGCTTTCAATCGATTCCTTTTTTTTCGGGAGGCAAAGAGGAACTTAACGTCGGTTTGTAGGTCATACCATTGCGTTAGGAGGGACGACTGTAGAGCTTTCTTTTCACGTCAAAAAGAATCTCACGAATATCTTTCCGCAGAGGATTTAAATTGGAAATTGTTTCCCATTATTTGAAGAAACTCAAGAATTCACATCTGCCTTACTTGTGAAATTTGGAGCTTAGGAATGAAGAGGTGGTGTTGAAGACAGCAGGCTCTCAAACGTAATACTGATACGTGGGAAACATTTTCTACACGTTCTCCGGCATCCTCACAATTATTCACGAACATTCCTTCCGGCGTCTGTGGGATACCTTCAGTGTCACTCATTATGTGAAATACAGGATGGACCTTAACTTTGCCGACAAACTTCGGAAGGGCTCTCCTGAGAGGAGATGGAGCCGAAATGGTTTTAATAACACAAGTTAATAATTGCGCTCAAAGAAGAAGAACGTTTTCACAACTTAGGAATCTTAAACGTAGTGATATAAATATTTAACGGGCATACAACTTTTCCGGTCCCCTTGTGGCCATCTTTAATGGAATTTATAATGGGAGCTACGTGGAGGAGTTTTTAAATAATCATAACTATTTTTTAAGTGTTTAAATTTTACGAGATAAATTCTTTATTCTGAAATGATCATATGTATATCTTCACTGAAATAACTAATCAAGACGCTGTAATTCAGTAGCTCAAATGAATGCATTTTTGAAATAAATTAATTTTTTATCTATTTGTTCACAAGGCCTTTATCACAGTAAGCTAAATTTAACACATATAACGATGTACATATGTGATTTCTTCTACGTGTTGAATCCTCAGTATAAAGCAGAACAATGGTGACCTACAATAACACTGTAATATGCGTCCCCCCACGCAAGTAATATTCATAGATGTTCAAATAACATTCTTAGTCAGTCATCAACTTATGATAGTCTGTCTCAGCAACGAGTCATATATATTCTATAAACTCATAAATGAGTTTCTAGAACTTGTAAAGAGCGTTCAAATCTAATGAAATATGTTTCTCTGAACTGAAGGTTCCTGCTTAAGGGAAGACCATTGACCATTGTCTATTCTCCTTGGAAGAGCCCACGGTGTACGTACTAGTCAGATTCAATATATTAAGAACATTAGATGCAGATGAATTACAAAAGTCTGTCAATGTTTTTTACTCTTTTTGGCCATTCCAATACAAGGGTAACACAGGATGAACAACATCAAAAGAAGCATTTGCTTTTTTCTCTTTCAGCTTCTTCAACTAGGAACGCGAAAGTGTGATCGTGGAAGCACTGATACCCGGGCGCGCTCTTCCTTGTACCCCACGAGTCAACCGCACAGGATACTATCGAGCTAAACCTGGATGGGAAACGTGCTGCTTGTAAACTGCCTAACCTGAACGCCCAGGCCGGTCGGTTTATAATACCAGACGCGCAGCACTGCTGAGTCGCCGCCCTGAGGAAGCCTGTGACATGACCGGCGAAACGACGGCCTCGCGGCCAAGAAGACGCGTAGAACGCGCTAGTTCAAGGGCCGAGGAAGGGCGGAGCGCGGGACGCAGTCGGGAGACGCCCGGGCACTCACCGCCGCCGCCAGGAGCGCGGCAGTCGCCAGCACCGCCGCCGCCAGCAGCGTGCGCCGCCTCCAGCCCCAGCTGCCGCTGCCGCTGCCGCTGCCTGCGCCCAGGGACACGACGGGGAGAGCCATCTGCAACAGAGCGCCCCGGCCGTCAGCCTCCACTCCCACGCGCACCCTCCGCCACTTGGCTCAGATGTTTACCGCCCCCGCTAAGCGCGGCGCTTTCTCCATTCTTTACATTCAAAATTTCTTCCCGGACCTCATTGCATTACCTCTTTACCTTTCTCTTCTATACATTCTCCATTATTACTAATATTTTATACTGTATATTGTAATGTAATTCTTTCCAATAAAACATACCACAAGTGATTGGCGACACTCCAGATCAAATATACTTATGGTAATCTTTGTATCTGTATCATTATTTATTACATTAAATTGGATTCTCTATGGCCCTTTCTTCTGAAATCGTTTCTCCTCTCTTTCATTCCTATGGACATCATATTCTGTATTATTAATATTCGGCCCTAAACCGCCATCCTGATTGAGTGATTTATGGCATCCTGATTTATGGGATTACTCAATCGCTTGAAGCTTTTGTCCGGATGCTCATAGTTTTCCATTCCATGTCCAGGCTTGCATCCCCCAGTATGTAGCTTGTCCCCCCTCTCAAACATTACAACTCTGTATAAATATATATTCAAGAGGTCAGGAGAAAGATCAGGTCCTATGATTTGATCCTCGCCAATAACAAACATTATTATTATTATTATTATTATTATTATTATTATTATTATTATTATTATTATTATTATTATTTTGCCATCAATCGTACTCAAAACCTCGACTTCAAAAACCTGGTTTCCATGGACAGAGGTCTCGATTAATAACTGAGTAATAATTCACACCGCCGTGATCTACGAGATATTTCAGAAACTACTCTTATATATCATGGGTTTGATTCTTCTGAGTATCATCACTCCGTTCTTAGGGTTCAGTACACAATGTTTCCAATTTATTAAAATAAGTTTCGGTACCATACCTGCCCCTGAAGGCAGATGTAATGAAAAAGAGAGGTTGAAGTCCTCCCCAGGGTTTCATTCTTGGTGAAAATTGTAATGAGGAGTAGTTGAATGTAAAATGTAGGGATGAATTTTCAAAGAAGAAATTGGTGTGGTCCCAGAGCCGTTACAATTTGATGACTGATAAGGTGGTGCCTCATTCTGGGATGCCTTTATTTCCACTAGCTGCCCGCAGCCACATGTATATGGCACATTCGCCTGCTATCTTTTTAAAGAGGTTCAGTTGGCAACAAGTTGTCCATCTTATGTGGCTTTATAAAGTTCTAGAAAGTGTGAAAATACGAAGAATGCTCTCTGACTTTGTGAGGCATATAGATAAAATCTTTTATTGCTACGGTTGCTCGTAATAAATCTCCTATCTCATTCATTTCGCTGCCCAACTTTTAACCTAAGCAGAAGACTTCCTCTTTGTGGCTACCCTCTTGGCGAAAGGAGCTTTCCTCACCTCACAATTTGCACATGTAATGACTTAAAGATATGAAGAGCACGTCAAGAGAATAATATACAAGCAAAACTGAAGTGTTAGATATTTCGACGAAGTAGGAATCCAATTAGGACATAGCCAATTAAAATGGTTGCTTTTCTTAAGTTTCACAGTGGCAAAATTTATTATGCATTCCTTTCACATTCTGTTTAATTTCTAGAATAACATGTCCAATACTGTAGTTGCACTAACAAATTTCAATTTACGACTTGAAAGTTACATTATTCACTTAAAAAACTTGGCAAATTGCATTATTCAACTTAAAAGCGCAGTGCAATGGTTTTCTTCGGTTTGCCACAATGACTTGCAAGACTAAAACTGTGTCTTTTCTTTCGCACACTTGACAATGAAACTCCGTGTTTCTCTTTTCTTTAGCGTAAGGTAAATTGCACAAATGTATGAAGACGTTTTCTACAAAAGCCAAACGGTTCAAAACGTACCCTCAATCCGAAGTGAATAATTATCAGATGGGTCCATCGAGTCTACAGACGTGAGTTATGCAATTATAAAACACGACTGCATTTATCTAATGACGAAACCTTTGTCTTTGCCTCCGAACCGTGGAATGTTTAGAATGTGTCAAAACGTTGAGTTCCATTTCATTAAAAATGTAACGAGAACTTGCCTAGGACAATGAACAAATTATGAAACAAATATGCTGGAGTGAACATTTGAGAATGAATGATGTCTACTAATCAATAATATATAAGAAAGTAAAAAAAGTTAAATCGACTATATTAAACTTTTAATAGTTTTGCTAAACGATATTCATTTGATGCATTTTACCAATGTTCATTAGCTTCTTTCATCATCTACTCTTTTAGGAAAACTTTCGTTATTAAATTTACCTCATCACCGTCCGAGTATATACAATATCATCCATGAAGCAAAATATCACCACAGACTTTTAAATCTTATTTTTAGCTTTTTTTGCAATTCGCTCATCCACTTAGCGCAATGATTCATACAAAGTTCATCAACAAACATATTCTTTTCGAATACCTGCTGACATTTCTGCGCTGAGAGACACTAACAACGGCGTCCAAATACGCGGAGCCGAAGGCTTCGGGACACGTGAAAGGCGGGGGTGATTTTCACACATGGATTTGAGTGGTTGAATTCACGCGTATCATTGACATCAGCACGTATGACAATTGAACCATTATCCCATCCGTAATCACTCACCTCTGATATTCATTCACCCATAAGGAACACTCCTTCCGCTGGAAGGCAATGCCAAAACGGTTCTGTGACAACCTACTGAAGAAAGAGGAAGGCATATAAGTACAAGCTTCCCTTTGGTCTGTGCTCGGCTAGAATGACATATTTTATATGGTTCGTGGCTTGGCACAACATGTTTTTGCTGGAGGTTGAAATATAGGTATTAAACAATAATTGATGTATTATGGAGTAAGGATTACGAAAAGTCTTCATAGGACTTCTGATACTAATAATTATTACAGTTTTCAAATAACGACAAAAACTGACAATTCGTATTTTTGGGTTGTGCCAGAGTTGGAGCCCACGAACGATATGCCTAGAACGTACGCAAATAGCAAAATAACTTCCCCAATAATGGGCAGCACTTAGGGCAATGTACTCTGTGGACCAACAGAGCTGCGCTCTGAAGCTCACTTTCGAGGCCCGCGTGTGTCATCGCGGCGTGCTCGCTTTTCTGTAGTCGCGTGCGTACCGGAATCTTTCCGCGGACTGGAGAGATGGAAAGTAGCGTTCTTGGATATATCAGCCCCCCGTAATCAACACAGCCGCCCTTGCTGCCTACAATACGCCGTCTTCCCCAACCCCCTGGGTGAAGAAGCTGGCGACCGGCCATCCGTGACCATTGCAGCTCGCACGTCGCAGAACGAGACAGCTGTGACAGCGGTGGCGGCGTGGCAGCGGTGGCGGTGTGGCAGCGGCGGTAGGCGGAGCGGTGGCAGCGGGGGCGGGCATGGGAAGCTTGTGGCGGCGTGGCAGCGGTGGGCGCGTGGAAGCTGTGACGCGTGGCGGCGTGGCGAGCGGTGGCGGCGTGCAGCGGTGGCAGCGGTGGCGGCGTGCGGCGGTGCAGCGGGGGCGGCGTAGGCGGGTGCGCGGAGTGACGGGGCGTGGGGTGCATGAAAGCGAGAGTGCAGGAGCATCTGCCACTGAATTTCTCCCAGGGCCCCGCTGCGCAAGGCGCGCCGCCGCCGCGCCGCCTCCGACACCCATGGGCCCGAGAAGAGGCAGCGCGCAGGCAAACGTCATAGCAAATAAAAGTACACACGTCTTAAATTTTCCACAACTCCATTGCTACAAGCCTATCAAAACCCTCGAATTCCGAATATTTCCATTTCCAGTATCTATAATAATATTAACACGTTCAACCGAACTGCGTAGCCAAGCATCTCGACGGGTTGAGTTTAGCTCAGAGTGAGCATTGCCACTGACTCTGCAGCGCTTCCGGACTGACGGACGTTTGACACTGACTGAGTAGGTATGTCGAAGTCAGGTCGGAAGTAGAATTCTAGCCGGGTGCTCTGATAGGAAGTTTAGGGTGGTTTCTCTGATCGATTCCTGGAGAAAGCCGGAGCAGTACCCTAACAAACGGGCCACGGATTGCGTGCGATATCTCTTTCTACTTCGATGTCCTTTTCTCTCCACTTACACACACACACACACATACCTGCACTTTAAGAGCACACATGGCGGACGATCAGGTAGCTAAGAGTTTGTCCTGGCTGGGTTGATGCCCTGCTGAAGGGGGGTGGCATACTGGAGGAGAAAACCTCGCAAGCCGACGTGTGGGTCGGCCCAGAATTTCACCATCCCGGAGGAGGGAATCACCATCACCTCTAGGGATAAAACATTCACTACACAAGCAGGACTAAAGACTATACCCGTTGACGTGCCCGGAAACCAATAATTCAATCAAGGAGTTCGACGACACGTATTAATAAAAAACACCACGAAAATTGTTTTCTGATATATAATGTAAATGTAAAACATTTGAAAACTTATAGAATATCTAAGAGAACATATATATGTTTAAAATATACGATTTAAGTAAGTAATTAGTACATGATGAACTTGGATACAATTTAATTAGGATATTGTAATAAAAGACTATAGCTTTTGCACCACATGACTTCAAACAGACGGCAAAAAATGAACAATGATCAGGCATTTTCAATAAATATTTGTATAGTTTGGAAGAAATTGTAGAAAATAAGCTTCATATTATGTTTAAACAATGTTTTTAATCATTTAGATTTAAAGTGTGATACGTTTAAAACCAAAATAATTTTTTTTACACATTTTCCCATTAACTGCAGTCTTTATTTCGATTGCCAATTAAATCAAAAGTAGAACAAAAGTAAAAAATGTGAAGTTTGGAGGAAAAGTATAGGGGTTATCAAGGGCATGGTCCAAGTAACACACAATGGTTGTCTGCAGGGTACCGGCAGCCGCGAGACCCTAAGCCTAAAAATTAGTTTTGTCCGCGTGTCCGCGCACTCGGCCCAGTGTGTGGGGAGCGTGAGTCATGTGGACGAAGACCACGATGCGCCGCTCCGCGCCGTCGTGAG